TATAGAAAAATGGCATCTCTGTAAAATTATAAATTTTTGATAGTATATACAAGAATAGTAATAACCGAGTGCAGAGTATTATGAGTTCCTTTTGCTCATATCGCTAAACAATCAAGGGTGTTTTCAGATGAAGGTTGAGGTGCACCTCTGAGAAATTAAATCATGTTGTTTTGTTCTGGCAGTATGCGCATGGAGGACATCTACCGTTGTTGTTGAGTCTGGCTTCTGGCCCACTTTTTCAATACAGTGCTTTTTATTCTTATTATTACTATTATTCTTGGTGGTGCCTATCTTTTCGCTTGACGGGTATAGCATGGTAAGGTTAAATCATGAATAATATTTAGATGAATGTTCTTTAGTGCTTTGAGTGGCTTCTTGGTTCGGGTTTTAGTTCCAGATAGTGGGGAATTGTTTTGTACAACCAAGGAACTTTTTTGAAACATCCTATGTGTTGAGTCAGCTTCTCACTACCTTAGGACATAGTGACAATGCAATCAACTTGCAATCCTTATCTCGCTCACGTAGTATTGCGTCATGAGAAGAAGGACGCCAATCACATGAGAGCTGACCACCAAGAGAGGGGCATGGGCCACTGATCTCAAAGAAGAAATGCATCAATAGTGTGACCCTTCTACTCAGGGAGGCACATACATACTTATACCTAATAATTAATTATGGACACGACCTTGGTTTAAGGACACTTGATTTGGGTTTAACGTTGTCTTGCGCAGAGAAAAAAAAAATAAGAGAGCGTAGAATATTTTAAGAATGTTGTTTGGTCGATAGAAGACGTGGATATTAAGAATGATGACCGTGTTTAGGGCACCTTACTAGTGGCTGTCCATAATACAAGCTGTGGCGCAATAAGTACACAAATAGGATACCTTGTTCTCTGTAAAACCCAGCGCGCCAGCTCTATATTGTTACAGTGTGGTAATTTTTGTAAAAAGTTTGTTTTGTTCCTGTACGGTTTAATTGTGAGTTCTTTTTATTAATATGTATACAATCCTTAGAGAGACTAGTAATCAATCCAATTGATAGCTCCAATAATAAGATGTCTTCAAAAAACTTTGGGATTGTTCTCACCAGGAAATCCAAAGATATATGAACATCTGTTATGAATGAAACAGGCAAGATATACCATAAAGTTTTAGTATTTTTTCTCTGGTAATTAACTTAATTGAATTAATCAGTTGGAGAAATTAAGAATCAGAAAAAACGACAATTTAACTAAATTCATATTCTGTATACTGC